ATTGATGTATGCATCAGTGTTATTTCACAAAGTGATACACCATAGGAGTCTGAATACTTTTGCAAAGCACATTATACCTGCATAAGGTTTAGCAGGCATTAGAGATCAGATTCTTTTAAAAGGAAATACCTTTATTCATAATTTCAATATTCAAACGTAGCTTAACAGGAATATGGCTTCTGGGCCTCTACAAAAGTAGAGTGCCTTAGGATAACATTCTTTTAATGCTGTAGCATTTTTTTCAGGTTCAGTGTTATAATAATAATTCTTTTATTATTAGCTACTGAAAATTGTTTGACATCCAAATTTGTCTTACCGTATTTGCATTGCAGAACCTAAGAATTAGACTAATTTAAATGTGTAGATTTTGCAACAAGATAGCATACTCCGGTTTCACGTCATGGTAGATCTTTTGTTTTTCATTTTTTATAATGTCCTAATAAGAATTGCAATCCAACTGCCTTGGTATTGCCCACAGGTACATGCTTTGGAATGGGGCGCCTGTGTAACTGTGACAGCAATGATCACGTCTGGAGGATGGATGAGGGTTTTCTCAGAGACAAAAACTCGCTGCCTGTGAAGGCCGTGCACTTTGGGGACACTAAGGATGCCCCTCTAGAAATGGCCTTCCACACTGTAGGAAAACTGACCTGCAAAGGGAAAAGTAAGGTTTGTTTTCCTATTTTTTCATATTTTTTCTAGTGTTATGTTTATGTCATGCTAGTGGCACGGTGGTGCAGTGGATAGCATCGTAACTTCACAGCACTAGGGGCTTGGGTTCAATTCCTGAGGCGCTATGTACCAGGAGCTTTTATGTCTCCATTGGTTTCCTCTGGGTCCAATGTCCTCTCACAGTCCAAAGACATACTGGTAAGTTAATTGGCTTTTGGGAAAATTGGCCCTGGTGTGATTGTGTGCATGTCTGTGTCTGTCTGCGCTGTGATTGACTGGTATCGTGTCCAGGGTGTACCCTGTTTTGCGCCTGTTGCTTGCTGGGATAGGCTGCAGCTCTCTTGTGACCCTGTATTGGATAAAACGGTAAGAAAATGGATTGATGTTCATGTCATATTAAATATACTTTTTTGGGATCAGCAGCTTTAAATACTGAATTATTTTCAGCAATATCCATCTCAGCGATAACAGAGCCAGGGCTTCTCTTTACTGAGTTCTGCTTTTGCATATGAACTAGAGGTGTGGATTAGTAGAATTCTACTCTTGGGCACCATGGTAGCACACTGGTCAGTACTGGGGGAGTTCCATTTTTGACCTGGGGTGCCTCTGGGTGAACTGGTTTCCTCCCACAGTCCAAAGACGTACTGGTAGGTTAATTGGCTTTTGGTTAAACTAGCTTTGGTGTGAGTATGTGCGTATCTGTGTTTGCACTGCAGTGGACTGGCATCCCATCTGGGGTGTATTTCAGTGCTTGCTGGGATAGGCTCTGGCTTCTCCACGATCCTAAATCGGATTAACCCGTTAAAAAATGAATGGATAACACATCTCTCTACCACTTTGGGCTGGATGAGCATGAGTTCTATACAATGTGGCATCCTTCATCATGGTGCTTAATCTCTGCTTGTATACAGTATGTGCATTTGAAACATCTGAAAATATCTGGAAAATGTGATAATTTGCACATTTAAGGATCATGCATAATAATACATCAATATAAGGAAATGACAAGTTAATTAATTTTAATTTACTGATGCAGGAATGTCTAATATTGATAATGTGAACAAAATAAGTTGCACAGTCATCCTATTTGACCTACAGTACCTTTTTTCTACTGAGGATCAGAAAAGGCAGCCAAAACCTAAGATTAAGACTGAATCATGTTGCTTTGATGACTTTCTTTTCTGATTTCGTTTCAGTCTCAAGCACATCACCGAGCATCTAAACCCAGGCATAAAAGGACAGCAGATATAGTTATTGGAGAGAGGGCATACCGAAGATTATTGGAAATTGTATCCCGACTTGCCTGAGAAACCAGTTGATTGTGGTTTGTTATAGAGCTTTTAGGCAAGACCTGCTGACATGCAAAGGATTACTCCTGAGACACGAAATTCAAAGATGACCCATTTTAATTTTTAGATGAGAGGAAAGATTCATTTAAGGATACTGCTGCACTGACTACAGGCATACAGTAGAAGGAGCTGCTCTGGTATTTAGACCTGGCAAGCTGCATCTCTGCACCAGTTAACAGGCATCACTAAGAACTATTCAGCTTCCACCTTCAGGAGCTCTGGGTAGAAAAGACAGAAGGATTTTTAAAATGTAATGAGTCACAGACAATGATTATCAGTGAGTTGTGGATGCAAGAAATGTTTAAGAATAGCATTGGGGAGCTACTGAACCAGTACTGCAGCACAATACACATTGGAGAGTATGCGTGCAAAATTCCTAAAGTTTAAAAACCAATGCACTTTTGGTTTGTCAAAAGTTAGGGCACATATATAATATTTTGTGTTCTCATGCATACATTATTTTATAAAAAGGTTCATCAATTTGGTAAAAATTGTAAAAAATGTATTGAAAATATTTCTGATTTTTCACTCATTTCTATGTAAGGTGGCAAATGATATCATCATATGAAATATTGATGCATACAGTTATTAGTATTGTAACATTGAGTTATACCAAAACACAAAGTAGCTATGGTCACTTTCAACACTTGGTAGTCCTGTGTCCTTTACACAATGTGAAATGTCAGATAAAAGTCACAAGTAGCTGAGGTGACATTTATACAAGCTCATTTCAGTAGTGTTTCATTCCTACCAAGAGAAGGTACAATGTGTAATCTTATGAGAAGCTGTTAGTGCCACTTAAGGTGAACTTGCCGCAGAAATAAGATAGGTTAGAAGAGGTATTGTCCAGAATAAAATTATCAATGTTATGTATTTCTTAAGGAAAAATTAAGAATAAAAAACTGAAGAATGCTTGTGTGTTGTTATTTCTGGCACAGTGGAAATAATATGTATGAAATAATACCCGAACGAGGATTGTACTGTTTGTTGTATTTAATGCAGAGCTATTTCACCCACTTTCCTTTACATTTTTAAAACAGTTCACATCATTATAACTTTAACTCTGTTATACAATACACAAATAAAAAGTACACATCATCTCTCCATGACTTCCATCGGCTTGTAACAATCCCAACATAGTTCATTTATCTCCTAACAAAACCCAGCACCAACTACATATGTTTGACCATTATACAGTATATCGCCTTGCCTTTATGAGCTACTTTTCATTGTAAAAAGTTTGATATTTCTGATGTTCCCAGGGTTTTCATATTTTATTATCCTAGGAGGCCAATGAAAAATAAGTAGGTAAATGTTCAGAATCTAATCCAACAACCTTCACTGTTACTAGAAATTCTTATATGATGAGAAAGGACTTTTAGCATGTAGTAACTTTGGCATTATGGTTGTCTTCGGGTTTTTTGGTTACGCAAGTTATCATTGAGGTATATTTCTTTTTCTTTATAATGTCCAGCTATTTTTCTTCAGTTAGGAACAGCAGAACGTAAGAACTTAGACAGTGGACTCATACAGTTGCCACTGAGAGAGTTAACACTGCAGTCTTACAGGAATACAACCAAACCAAGGGGCACTGTTACAAGACCTGATCTTTGACCCTCCCCCATCTCTACAGTACTTCACAAATCATGTTCCTTTTACAGCATTAGAGACTAACTTGAGTTATTGTGCAGCACAGAAAGCTATTAAAATACGTTTCTAAAAAGAAAACAATTTAAAAAACTAAGAACAGTTCTTTTCATTACAACATTAGTTTATTCAGTTCAGCTAGCCGTTTATCAACACCACCCTATACTGTAGCAAACTACTGATTACATGACCCAAATAATTCAAATATTAGCATCACACAAACTGTAAATTTACCCAAATTCAGCTTATAACCGTAAAATAATGACTATAATACTGTGAGGTGAATCTGACACTTATCAATGTTAGCAGTGTTTGCAATTCCCCTTACCTTCCTCAGAAGGTCTGAAATGATGTACACGTTTGTAGAAATGGTGGTATTTACCTAGCAGTCCTTAAACAAGGGGGAGAGTAAACATGGAGGAAGACACTGATAAACTCAGTGTGAGGAATTTACTCAGGTTAATTAACTCCAGTGTATATCATTAGGACCACCATATTAAAGAATAAACATTGAACAGTGCCAGGGCCATTCCTAAGGAGGTCATTAAGACAATCTCCATTGGAATGGATCACAACATACAGTGCATACAGGAACAGAGAGGGAGTAAGAGAGAAAAGACAAAAGAAGGGAGAAAACAAGTGGTTGAATGATGGGAGAGCTCTGTTTTAACCAGGCTGGGTTACCAGACAGGTCATCTGAAAGCTGAATAGTATATTGAACTACAGTATGAGCATTATTATGAAACAACTTGATGTCTTATCTATTTGAAGAAATGTTGACATCTTATATAAGATAAGATAAGATCACTTTATTGGCCATATACAATTCCTTGCATTAGGAATTTTTCTTAAAATTGCTCTCCATGAGACACACAGGCAGGGAGAGAGAAGCTTGGGGTCAGAGTGCAGGGTCAGTCATTTATATGGCACCCCTGGAGCCATTGGGGTTAAGAGCCTTACTCAGGGGCCCAACAGAGTAGGATTCCTCTGCCAGCCGCAGGCTTTGAACCAGCAACCTTCCAGCCCCAGGTACAGATCCTTAGCCACAGTGCCACTGCTCCACTAAATTATGGAATCCTCTGGCTAAAAATGTCCTCTCCTATTTTAATGATACATTGTTAGAAAGGGGAAATTGGTTTTGGTCTGCCATCCAATAAATGACCATGTGCTGCTAAATGTTTGCTTATTTCCTGTTTGGTATTTTGGTTATAATACACTGATTTGAATTCGTGAGTTTTTCAAGATATTTGAAAAAATGCACATTACAACAAACATGAATATGAAATTAATATGAAATTTTAAATGCACATTTTATACAAATTTATTTTAAAAATGCTCAAATTCGAAAAATATCCCAAATACTAAAATTACCAATGACAAAAAGTGTGTCAGATCCAATTCTTCATTCAGTAATATTGCATTGTGAAACCTCTTCAATTGCTTGTATTATTTTATGAAGTCCAGAAAGTACTTGACGGGATGTTTTTCTGAATCCAAATCAAGAATTTTGGAAGCAGCAATGAGCCTGTGAAAGGCCTCGTCTTTGTTGGGACTGAAGCTGGTAATGTTGAAGGAGGAAAAGTCAAAGTCAATTTTATTTTTCATGTCTCCAATCTTGATAGAATTGATAATCCCATTTTCCTCCAAAGCCTTTAATATTACAGGAAAAGAAGGGTTTTCCAGGGCCTGAACATGCTGAAAAACAGGGCTAGATATACCTACAACATAGCCTCTGGGTTCAGGGGTCCAGATGTGTGGATGGACATCACAGGCTATCAGAAAGGTGCACAGAATAATGTCCGTGCCATAGACCGTCTTGATCCAGCTAGGCAGATAACTTCCACCCGGTCGTGGGTTGATCTCGATGAGCTTGGGGCCTGTTTCAGTCAATTTCATATCAAGATTGTAGACCCCATTCTTCAGGCCACAGTGGAGGCAACACTGGTATGCAGCAATGGCTAACTGGGTCTCTTTTTCAGGGCAGAGGCAGGTGGGCATGACGTGTGATGTGTTGAAAAAGTAAGAGAGTCCGGGAGGCCCACGATCAGAGACAAATGCTGCCAAGAGCTTCCCCTGAAAGATTATCAGGTCTACGACATACCTTGGGCCGCTAATAAACTCCATCAGAAATGGTTCATTTTTGAATCCCTTGTTTATCATGTGATAAGTTGTTCCTTTTAAGTCCCACTTTAGGCTCTTGAAGTGCTGCTGGCACTGCAGGGAGTTCTCCACTATTTTGACACCCATTCCACCACTGCTTTGCTCCAGCTTTACTGCTGCAGGGAAGCCCACCTGTGCCATGGCCTCTTCGAGCTCCTGTTCACTGTCCACGGGTAGGCAGGGCACTGCGTAGAGTGAGGGATTGGGGAGATGCTGCAGGCCGTGGCAAATTCCCCCCAAGTGCCGATGAGAATTACTCTTCTTTTTGGCAGTAACGAGCGCTTCAAAGCCATCACTGGGAAGACCTAGTTCTTTGCACACGAGGGACGTCAGTATAACTGTATCGCAATTAAAAGTTGTGCAGCCATCGACAATCACATTCAAATCCCGGACCATCTTGGATATGATATGGGCATGAGACTCATCTTGCGTGTGATCACTAAAGTCGTGATGTAGAGTTTTCCACACCAGCGCAAAAGCAGGATGGGATGAATTGCAATCCACCAAGATTATCTAAAAAAACAGAAATTAACACAGTGGAATCTTACCATTCTTTTTTGGCCATGGGTTTCAAACTGGGAAGAACAGCGTGTGTTGATGTCTATTTACATTCAGATGCTGTAGGATATTGTTCTGTACTTGAATAATCCTGTCATACTCTGAAATCATAGTTTTGGGGTGGCAGTGGATGGATTTGGAAGCAGAAACCCGTCAACTAGGACATATCTGAAACCTTTTAAGATCCTTAAAGGGAAAAAATAATGCCAAAATGTGACAGCAGTCACTTGGGAAACTAGCTCTTGATATAAGTCACGAGACAACGGCATATACCCGTTTTATTGAAGTTATTTTTGTCATGAAAACCTTTTGATTTATTTTTGGGAATTTCAGATAAAACTCTCGTAGAGACCAAATTAAATTTAGGTCTTTATTGGCCACTGTTTCCTTTTTTTATTTCTAGTTTCCTAGTTTTACTTACAAAAGTTCAGGATTTGATTTCTTTTAAAAAGGAGGCTTGGGAGATGAGCAATGGTTAAAACGTTTTTCCAGGCACGCTAAAGATACAATTGCTTCGTAATGATGAAAATCCATTTCAAGATGTATATTATGCTACAGATATACAGTAAGCTTAAGATGTAATAAATAAGATGTAAACTATTTATTATTAAATGTTCAAATAAATACCAGCAGGGATTGACTGGTAAACAGATGAAGAAGGATACTAAACCATTTTGTCAATATTGATGGGGTAAAGTAAGATTGTAGAACATTTCACATATAAAGAATTGGTGTTTTCTATTTTTTTTAAACATGGAAGTTAACATAACTGATTTATCTCATATTGTAGAACAGCTCAGGCTGTTCACTAGCATTTTGAAATTATGTGTCTTCAGGTAGGAAAATTAACATGGTCTGCTTATTATTTGCACCTCTGATCTCATCGAATGAAACTAGAAACTGAGACTTTTAATCAAAACAGTGCACATGTGATTTTCTTAAAAATAAGAAACACCAGCCTAAATATCACTTATGTATGCCCTGGATACAGCAATAAGTATCTTTAATGACGTCAACATTTTATGCATCAGAATTTGGATTTTTTAACTGAGGCGAGAAACCTTACCTTGATGTGATATTTCTTGGCTGACTGAAACACTCTCAGCTTATTTACATTTCCTGCTCCGATGTACAGGATGGTCTTGTCAGCGATGAAAGAGCAGTGGGCTCTGTGGCACATGGCCTGTACAAGAGGCCCGACAGTGCTGCCCCGTTGGTGGGGCTGCAGGAGCTGAGTGGCAGTGCTCTGAATTCCTCTGTGGTGAGAAGTCAGGCTCAGGAGGAAAGGGTGCAGTCTGTCCTTGTGCTGTGTCAGAGCAAACTCCACACCTGAAGAGAGGCATATTTACACAGAAAAGTTCAAATATCTTCACACAAAAACTTATAATGAACTATAGACCATGAAAAAGGATATGTTTTGCGATGGTCATTTACTCATTTACTAGTATTGATTCTAACTGAACTGTTTGATTAGTTTTTAATGCTTTCTGGTTCTTAAATATAAAAAGAAATAATAATAATAATATTAATAATAATAATAATAATAATATTTCTTACATTTATATAGCGCTTTTCTGGACACTCCACTCAAAGCACTTTACAGGTAATGGGGACTCCCCTCCACCACCACCAATGTGCAGCATCCACCTGGATGATGCGACGGCAGCCATAGTGCGCCAGAACGCTCACCACACATCAGCTATCAGTGGGGAGGAGAACAGGGTGATGAAGCCAATTTATAGATGGGGATTATTAGGAGGCCATGATTGGTAAGGACCAATGGGAAATTTGGCCAGGTCGCCCGTGTTACACCCCTTATTGATTACATATTGAATTAAAAAAATCTATTTTTGTATTTTTTGGCCAATTAAGTACTTGCTTTTCACAGATTTCCCCTGTTACCCAAACCTCGATATCAGAAAATAGTTTATTTAGCTTAAATAAGATATTGAATTAATGAATTAATGAAGATAATGAATATGAATTAAATATACAACAGAACTGTGGTACCTGCTGGAATGTTATCTATGGACTGAATTTTTAAACCATGTTTTAAAGTTAGCTGAATGTGTATTTTCTAAATTTACTTCCGGAATATTCATACACTATCTCATTTAAACTAAAGAAAATATTTTCTGATATCGAGGTCTGGGTAAAAGGGGAAATCTGTGAAAAGCAATTACTTAATTGGCCAAAAAATACAAAAATAGATTTTTGAATTCAATATGTAATCAAGTTAATGAGAGATATATTTTAGGCCTTTTAAAGTACTTAACTAAGATTTTATGACAATTAAAAAAATAATCTTCCAGTACTTACCAAAAGATAGAAAAAACAAAGTTTTCAGTACTTTGCTAGACACAATAGCCTATGTTTTTATTTATATGCATCATAATAAAATATTTCTTAACGTACCCAAATATTGTTGGTTCGATTTTGAAACAGTACCACTAAAGGCATTAATCTTTCAATTTGTCCAGTTGGTCAGCATGAATCAGCATGAATCAAAGCAGATTTCTGATCTCAGTGAAAAACATGGAATAATTAACTGGGGAAGTTATGCTTAAGATTTACAATGCGCTAGTAAGACCTCGCTTAAAACTCATGTTCTGTTTTCCTCACTATATCACATTATAAAAAGTATGGTTTATATCTTTGTCTCAGGAGATTATCAGACAGTTTAGGATAAAGGGGAGTTAATGTTTCAGTTAGGGAAAGAACTAAATCTCTTCAATTAAGAACAAAGGAAATTGAAAGGAGATTTGATTCAAGGATATAAGATCCTATGAGGTTTTGACAGCATCAAGTTGAGAAACAAGGATTTAGTGTCAAACTGGAAACTAAAAGGGGATTTATTTAAGAAGAAGACTAGGAAATACTTCTTTACAGGAGCTGAAGATATCTGCAAACCTCAGGCTTTCCAGCCAAATACTTGAGGCCCAGGATCTGAACTCTTGTAAGAAATGGCTGGAAACTTTTAAGTCTCATTAGGTACTCAATTACTTAATGAGAAAATCTGGCATGCATCATTTCTTATCTTCCTGTGTTCTGCCTATCCCTAGAGTATAAGGTCACTAAAGAGCAGTACCTATGAAATCAATCTGAGCAGTAGCCCCTCCCCTCTCTTCACTGGAGAGCTGGGACTGGTAGTCCATGATGCCTTGCATGGCTGCCTCGGCCCACTGCTTCAGGAGCTGCTGAAGTTCTGTGAGGTAGTCCTGCTTTGTGAAGCCCCAGTCCTGAAGTGTCACTTCCAGAGACTGCAACACTGTGGGGCTGCTTCTAATCGGAGCTTCTGTCCTGTTCACCCAGCACACTACCTGAAATGCAGACAAGCAACATTAGCACTGATGTCCAGAGCAGTGATACTTCCCCAGAGATCCTGCAGGATTTAAATTTTAAGATAAATATCTTCAAAAGATAATGGCATGGAAACATTATTACTTCTCTTCAGATAAGGTAGGAAACTGGATGCTGGTGTTTCTTTCCAGATGTACTTTGATACAGATCATCTGAACAGTTTTTTATGGGGTGAAATTATATAGTTATCTTTACACACATATGGGGAACTTATTTGTTAAAATAACAGACCCCATAATTTGATAATTATCTAATATTATTCTACTTGGGTTCAACATCTACTCACAACCACCTGACTACAATATATTTTATTTGCACTGTACCTGCATCAACTGAGGCTGATCATCAGCAGAACGGCAAACTGTGGCTCTGATGTGGAGATCAAGCTTTCTTCTTGAAACCTCTGGCTCTGAATAAATATACAGTATACAGGCAGCTATAATAAATGTTTAAAACATATCAATTCATATCCATGTAGTTTCACTACCCTGTGCTTTACTGTTCATCATAACTTAATCAGAGAATGTCTGATTTCATTATCAACACCAGAAAACCAAGCCTGAGGTATAAGAAGAATGTCAACCTTCATTTTTTAAAGTGAAAATTTTGACTGAATAGGAAATAATTATCATTATTTCCCTTAACCGTGTGACCCTTAACCATGTGGGTCATCAAACAAAATGTGAGTTTACATGTTTCAGTTCTAAATAGTGGAAACAATATCTTGATTTTCAGTGAAATTGTGTATATACCTATGTTTCATGTTAGTCCCCGTACATTAACTTTAAATAGTAGCAGGAAATGGTGTAAGTCTTAAATACATTCAGTCATTTTTTTTTTATTGCATTATTAATGTGCTAATAAGCATTCCATTGTCTGTCCTTAGTCATTATACCGTTTTCATACAATGGCACAAAACATTCTTGTGAACACAATACCCTGTGTATTCCCTGTGTATGCACTGTGGTACTAGAATTCTCTTGATGCACATTTTATGTGTAAACTGGTGTCACTAACATTGTGCAGTAAAAGACAAAGGAATGTTTCACTAGGAATGACAATGCCCAAGATCGAAGCGTAATGAACTATTATGGAGCTGATATTTGGCTTAACCTGCTTGGCTGAGGGCTGACCTCCTGGCCATAGGACGAGGTCCTAGATGGATGGAGTAGCCGGCTCGAAGGAAATGCGAAGGCTTGTAGACCTTTCTCCAGTCTCCCGTTGGGAGAAAATCAACCTCTGGGGGTCCCGGCTGTCGTACTGTAGCTCATGGAATTTACGTGTGTGGATATTACGTGAAGTGAGAGCAGTATTGGATCCAAGGAGTAGCGGTGTGGAGTGGGAGAAATGATCCTGGTGCAGATTTGGACGTCGGGGATAGGGACTTGTGTCAAGGGGTGATTGTTGAGTAGGCAGAGGTACGAGGCTGGGCGGACCCAGAAACGAGAGGCAGCGATGGCAGCCGCGGAGGATGAGAGGGAGAGAAATGGGCCCGGGGCCGGATCGGATGCCGGGAATAAAAACATGCATAGGACACGGGAATGAGGTGAGGGAATTACCTGTACGGATGTGGAGGGGGGTGGCTTTGATAGCTACAGAGGATGGAAGGGATGAGACTGAGGCTGAATTGGGGAAGGGGAATAAAGAGGCGACGAGAAGGGGACGCGAAACATAGAGCGGTTGGCAAGAGAAATGAACTGGATACCGGGGAAGCGAACAAAGCAGGAGCAGAGTGGACATGGGGGAGAGAAAAAAGGACAGGGATGTAATGGACACATGGGATGAAGGACTTACCTTAATGAGGTGGACTTAAAGGATTTACCTTAATGAGGTGGTACCAGTGGCAGAAAGGGCAAGAGAAAAAACACAAAGTCGGGACAGAGATGCAAGACATGGGACTTACCTGTATGGACATTAAAGAGGTGAAGCCAATAGTAGCAGGGCTGACACGTGAGAGCTACAGACTGGGCCGGAAGTAGGACGCCGGACAGAACCGGGGCTGGGGAGATGGCCGCAGTAGCAGCAGAGACAAAACGAATAGATCCAGGGCCAAATTGAACTCCGGGGATAGGGAAAATGAGACATGAATTTTGAAAATGCACGCTTCCAAGACGAAGACCCGACTCTGTGAGCAGTGCTGTCTGAGCCTGGGAGATATGCAATCACGTGGCAGCCTGGAATGTGTTTTTTTTTTTATAAAACGGAACACCAGGGGATCAAGACACAACGAGACAAGGACACGAGACATAAGGGCTGGGTTGGATGGAAACACGAATAAGACAGGGACGCAAGACGCGGGACAACTGCTGACTGGGCCAGAGGTAGGACACTGGACAGGCCCAGCGCCAAGGAGGTGGCCGCCATAGCACCAGAGATGGGAACCCGGGGCTAAATTGAACACCGGTCCAGGGACACGAGACGGGACAACTGCTGGCTGGGCTGGAAGTAGGACACCGGACAGACCTGGGGCCCAGGAGATGGCCGCAGTAGCAGCGGATGCAAAAGTCGCACACGAGGGAGAGGGATATCACATTGGTATTTAAAGCGTTTTGTGGAGGAAGGATGAAGGGAGTGATTGCTGATTACTGACAGCTGGGAACGATTGAACGTGGTTGTTTTCATCCCTCCCAAACTTTTGTTATATTTTGTTATATAAACTCCATATCATATAGCAGATTATAAAATACTGTATATAATATATAAGCTATGCAGCTGAAGGGATTTGTATTATAAAATGCTTTTGCAATGTAATGTGGCAGGTTGCCCCTTGAAACCACAGACCTGCCACTAGAAAGGACCACTTGCAAGGTAGCCTCATATGAGATAAGATCACTTCATTGGTCATATACAATTTCTTGTATTAGGAATTTGTCTTTTTTCATATCCCAGCTTGCTCTCCATGAGACACACAGACAGGGAGAGAAACTTGGAGTCACAGAGCAGGGTCAGCCATATGGCGCCCCTGGAGCAGTTGGGGTTAAGGGCCTTACCCAGGGGCCCAGTGGAGTAGGATTCCTCTGCCGGCTTCAGGATTTGAACCGCCAACCTTACAGCCACAGGCACAGATCGTTAGCCTCCATGAGTGTGTATTAGTCACTATTTACAGTATATTATTCAGTAATGGGTTGGAATGAACATTCTCATCTGTCTGTAATAAGGGGGTTGACTTTAGTATAGAAGGGTGTCCAACTGCAACAGCTGCCGTTTGGAAGAAATCAGGGTGTGAGCTAGGAAACGATGGTGGTACAGCAGATGTTTAATTTTGTGGTTAGACTGTTATTTCTGAATGACAAGTTTTATTTCTTTTAGAGTATTTTATTTGTGAGTTTTGTGCAAAGCCTTTAAATAAACCCAGGACCTACACTACCAAAAGTAGTTGTTAAAATTATTTTATTGGCCATATGGTTGTACTCTTCCTTGAACTTTATGTTCACCTGTATATTGGTCTTTCCTCTTTATGTTTGCACTGCTCCTACTAGTATGTATCATTCTCTTAATTATGTTGGAGAGCCGAGCTTTTACCTTTGAAGATGACACTTTGCTGCAGCTTCCAGGGCTTCAGCAGCTGGACTGAGTCGTAAGACGCCGTGATGAGAATGGACTCTCCTTGCTGGATCCTGGGCAGGAGACCTAGTGCTGCTTGAAGGATTTCTTCTCCTGCGCTCTTTTGGTGAACTGTCACATTGTCACGGAAACACCATTTTGCGCCAGAAGGTTGGACCATCACCTGTGGAGTCAAAAAACAGAATTAGGGTTTCTCGAAATTCTGGGCTTCCTTTACTCTTCAATCCTACAGTGTACATCCTCTTTCCAATTTTTCAGCATCATAAAGCTCTGCAGCTTATTAGAGACATTGTTTTACAGAAATAGGAATCTGAAGTGTAAAACTGCAAATCCTAAAATTAAATGTCGGATTTTTGTCATGTAAAGGGTAAAACTCAGGAAAAAGTTAATCTGTTTAGAAAGAAATGCAATCACGTTGCAGTAAACTGGTCATTTTTGTAACATACATCATAAACTACCTTTTCTATATTTGTTCTTTTTTGGAAAACACATAGTTGTCTGTCAGCTTCATATTAAAAACTGATTAGAAATGCAAACTTGTATTTAATCGGACTGAAGAAAATCTGCCAGTTTATCTCTGAATCTTATACCAAGACTAAGTTTTATTGCGAACCCTGTTTACTCAGATAATACACTTGCTTTGTGGCAGCTCTCAAGGTCAGGATGGTGCAGAAACTCTTCAACAGCCCCCAGCATGGCTTTCTGCAGCTCTTCTTTCTCCTGAGCAGAAACCACGGTCACCTGGGTGTTCGGGGGCAAGGATTTAAGGTTGGGGCGAAAGGCAAAGGCCAGGGTTGGTGGTACTTTAATGCCTCTCTGAGCCACCAGCTGTCTAGTCAGAAGTACATCCTCAACCACTCTGGTGAGCTCGGGAGAACCGCAGGTTGGACAGTCCAGATCCTCTTCCGTTATGATGCCCAGAACTTGCCCATTTTCAGCCTCGTGTGGCATGCTGTGGTCACCCAGGGAGCTCAGGAAATAGCTGGCGCGTCGGGGAGGCTGGAAGGTGTCCAGGTTAGTCCAGCCCCCTGACCCAAAGGTGACGGCTTTGTGGATGAGGAGAGAGAAAAGCCCTGGGTGCTTTTGGGAAGGAGCCTTGGAGAGCCAAGAGGAGGACAAGCAGAGCAGCACATGACCTGGGGTGACAGCAGAGCAGCAACACGGAAATTATCAGCATTGATTCTTGTCAGCAACATTACTCCTAGGACCAACCCGTGAAACATTACTCATCATAATGAGAACACTATAGGGTTTAACCAAAGTCTAACTCTAATGTTTAACGTGTAAGTTTTACTAAGTCTATTTGAAATGAGGTTCGCTTTCAATCAGAGAATTCGCATTAACCAAGAATTCATCCTTTCAGATGAAAAAAAGATTGATGTGAAGCATTTTTCAAACTGGCCCCAAATGTGTGACACTAATTTGCTTTTGCAGAAGGTAAAACAGTCTCTTCAATAATGTCCATTAATATTAAATTTGCATACACTTGGTTCTTCTCTTAACTTGACAATTTTATTATGGCATGGGATATCCCCTGTACTGCTGCTTCTCTCCACTCGTGTCCCACAAGGCTCTGTGCTACTCCCAGGACCACTCACAATTTTCATACGACTTCTGTGCAGATAACACTCAGATTGTATTCTTGTTTCCTCGTTACTCTTGTCTCTTCCCATATGAAAAACCTGCCTCTCAGCCTAAGCATTCATTTCTGTGCACTATAAATGTACAACCCAAGTTAGTAATAACTCATGCATATATTAAAATGTTACCTTTATTAAAAAAGGTTGTGATGAAAAGCTAAATTTAGCTTTAACAGATGTCTTGGTGAAATTGATGGCTGGATTGTGGCTGAATCAGTGACGAGCTTTATTTCTAGACACCAGAGTAAGCAATGGGCATTAATGCTGAAGGAATTCAAAGACATCAATAAAACATACCGGGACATCGCCTGCCTCCCTCCAGCAGAATAGGAAGATATTTGTCAGGTGAGGCCAGAACACAGATAGTCATGTAAGGATCAGTCAAATCTGCAAAAAGAAACAATTCTATTAGTAATGTACCAAGCAGCATAAATGATTTAATAACCTTATTTACAGATGAAACAGGGATGGAAAACATCAAATTAACCTTTGGCTCCACTGAAATGTATTTGCTTAAAAAAAGGGAAATAACTTTTTTCACTGGAGGAAAAAGTTTAAGTTTTGAAAGTTGTCCAGAGTGTGCTTCGACCCAATCTAATGGCGTTGCTAATAGGTTTCCATAAATCTTATCTTTGCTGTTTTTGAGAGATAAATAAACAAAAGGTCCTCTTTACTTATACTGTTCCTTTTTGAATGCTTCTTCTGTAACAATGCATGCAATAACGCATTAAATTTAAGTATTAGTACTGCTTTCTCTTTTCCGTACCCTCTAGCAAGGTACCTCACTCAGATTGCTCCAGCAAAATACCCAGTATACAGATTAAGGTGGCTTGGATGAAAGTATCAGCCAAATAATTTATAATTAAGAAATTGAAAGGGTAGTGAATCACAGAGAAGTGAGGCCCAGGATGAGCAAGGAGTACCTATTAGAAAACATGGAGAGAAAAATTTATCTTTCTTTCTAGACACCTTCAGAAGCACTTTGCCAAAGATGTGTAGAGCTTCGGACCCACCTGCTCTTGGTGTAGCTGTGCGGTCTCTGGTTTCAGGAAGCCCCAGTTCCAGTAGTATCTGCTGTAGAGAGCTGTAATACTCTGACAGCCCTTCCTCCTGCAGGGCTGGGTCACTCTCCTCCCAGTGAACATGTGGACCGTCTCCTTCATTATAGTTCTGGCAGCCCACCTCATTCTCACATACTGCTTCAGGTGCCTTCAGCGTGTCCTTATTCCTCTGCATCTCTGATGGACCTTGTCAAGTGAGGCCTGCAGCACAAGTTGTACAAAACACAATTTTAGCATCACCAGTGCTGTGAGCTGCAGATTACTCACTTTATTTTTTAAGAAGCAATGCTTTTCTTAAATGGCTCAAGATGGATATATATTTAAGGCACTTAAATTCCTGCATTGTCTGATCTTCTAATAGTTGCACTATCTATTCTCTTAGATTCCCCACAGTGGGTAATGGAAGAAGTTTGATGATACATATCCAAAATTCACCACCAGTTGGCTACATTTGGCTGTGTTTTACCAATGTACTTTTAATACAATACTGTATATCACAGGGAACATTTGTAAAGGCAGGCCTGTGCACTGACAGAAGTCAGCATTTGTAGGGGCAATACAACTAGCTCACAATTAGAGTTCAGATTACCAAGAAGTCAGCCATATTTTCTTGAGAAACTGCTTATTTCTGTAACTACCCATTACTGTAAGTCTTAAAAGAAAGAACAAAAGAAACCATTTTCATCACAGTCTGTTTTAATGAACTAAATGTATTTGTCTTCATTCATCCTCATATCTCTGAGTCCTTAATCTCTTACAGGAATATCATTCATTATCAGAAATACAAAGGTCAATTTATTTAATACTTCATGCTGAAAAGTAGAAAGAAGAAATACAATGTGACACATCAGAAGAAAGCTCGACAACTGAAACTTTATGGCTGTTCTTTCTACATGAATGAACCTTTAAGTGTTCCTTTGCAGTCAATGCATGCTGACACAGCTGTCCATTTATTATCAGAAATGTGCTTCTTCCTGGTAAGGGACACCGTTGTTAGACCGGGGCTGATCTGATCAGTAGATTCTGTGCAGGACTCAGGAGAGTGAAAAAGACACAAAGCCGAATCGCTAGGCAAAAGGAAAAAAAAAAAAACAGGAACCCGGAAAGAAGGTCTGAACACGCAGAGTCAGAGACGAAGCAACAATCCTAAACACTAGGCGAAGTCAAAACCAGGAGGCAGGCAGTAGGTCGGAACATGGAAGAACAACGAGAAAGCTACAATCCAAAACAGTAGGCGAAATCGGAAACGAGAAGCAAGCAAGGTGATCAGAACCGGTAAAAATAAATCAAGAGAGAAACGCACACTAAGGAGCTCGAGGAGAATCCGTAATAATAAGCGAGGAAATGAGTTAAAAGGAGAACTAAAATAGGGACGGGAGAGAAAGGTGATTGGCATGTTACTTGCAGCGTGAGCTTGTGTCACAGGGTATGCGCGTGGGAATGCAAGAAGGAACAGAGATGCGAGTGGAATGCGTACAGTATCATGATTGTAATCCCTCCCCCTTAAGGGTGCTCCGGGTCTTTCACATTTGAGTTGATTTTGTGCACCTGCCCCCTGTTCCAGCCCTTCCCTACAAAAAAGCGTTTTTTTATTTATTTCTTGAAGTGTTTCAACTACAAACCCTGGAACCACTCTGGATTCTTAGGATTTCACCTGTACGAGGAATGTGCAAAGGTCTCCAGCTGGCCATCGTGACCTGCAGATCTTCACACAATAGCAAATCAGTCACACTCCTAACATTTCTAAACTACAAACTGATTTTTGAATTTTCCGTTGGACACCAACTTTTTAAAAAGCCATTTGACACCTTTCATTCAATATCTTTATTCGTCAGCTCTATTTTTTGTTAGAATTTCCTGTAGTGTAAATGCTTTACTTTTTGTACCCTTTTTCTCAACCTCATCAACCCTTGACAGAACCCGGCATTTTTAATGACCAGCAGTTTATGGATGCTGTTTTCTATAAGACATTCATGGTATTAGTATTTTTGTTTTTGTATTATAGCTGAATTTAAAACAATAATTTAATATTATTCTAGAAGTTAAAATTCACTCTCCCAGCCCCAGCACAGAGACCTTATACAGATACAGCTACCCTTCACACAATTACACATATAACTATTCCCATTTATACAGCACAGTGAGATTTGTATTCAATATAAACACTGGGCTTTCACATCGTCAGACTACTCGTTTATGAAAGTCACCAAAATTACACCAATAATACAACTCGAATGTAAGCTGTAAATTGGGCAATGTTTTGCACGAAAAACCCCCAAACATAAATAATAAGCCCATCAAATCAATATATAACAAAATTCACAAGAATGCATAGATATCTAATGATTAAATGATCTTTGCATTTGACTAATCTATTTCTTGACAACTTGATTTTTTGCACTAGCAAAATAAAAAGCTAAGGTAACTTCTCTGGTCTACTAAATAACAAAATTATATAAAAATAACATGTGCATAATGTTTTTTAAGCACTGAAGAATATTTTATTTCAGTTATCATGTAAAGAATGATAATTAGGTGGTCTTCACAGTCTGGGACTAGACCAGGAGTTACAAAGCATTTTGCTGTCAAGTGTCAAAATCATACTCACTGTCGAGTGCTGGTTAGGTCTCTTTTTCACTACTGGGACTGCTTCCTTTATCACACGGTTTTAAATGAATCGATGAAAACACAAATTATGCATAACCAAATGAGTTAAGGAGGGCTGCGTCCAGTAGCTTCAGTTGTTTAAATGATATAGGCAGGGCATTCCAAACTTACAGTAATTCCAGCTTGTACATGAAGATTCTAACAGAGCTAGTGCACATAATGTATGTTTTGATAAACAGACTTTCCAAGCCACTTGGACAGGTGTCCAAGACACTTTTTCCTGAAACTTAGCTGCAAGGTCATGCAATCCCAGCTTTCATTTTCATGTACTTTTTTTTATATAATGAACCTGTGCCATACATTTAAATACACTATAGCAACTATTAATTCACTTAGAATTAAGTGTTATTAAAGATTTCTAATAATCTTGGTATGCCTTGATCAAGCAGTCATTTGCTGTCTGTGGATGGCACAGGATTGTGGCTAAAGAGGCCCCTCTGATAAAAGACATCATAAAGCTGTATTAAACTGAACAATGTAATGACATATAGAACAGACGGACTCCAGCCAGTCTCCAGGCTGGTTTCTTCTTGAAATCACAGGTCAAAGGTTGCTATTCATCACCTAAAGGAAGATGCACCAATAAGTGATCAACAGGGTGGATATCAGAACCAAACCAGATGGCATTTCAGCCAGTCACCAACTTGTGATGTCATCCATAAACTAGAACCCAAATCATTCTGGCAAGAGCTTCGGTGGAGAGCAATCTTTGCAGACGATAGTACTCAATGGACAGTCTGTAAAGGTTGTGAAGAGTTTAAAATATCTGGGAACACATTAATCAGAGGCTGAGTTACACTGATAATACAGAAAACATTTTTAAGAAAGCAAATCGGAGGCTGTTTTTAATTCAAAGACTCAAGAACTTTAATGTTAGTCAAAATGTCCTATAGAAGGCATATAAAAGCCTTGCTGAGAGCATCCTGGCATTTAACATGACAGTTTGGTATGGAAACATGGGGTTGAAAACCAAAACCAAACTGTCCAGCACTGTGACAGAAAAAATTATTGGGAAATAGCAGCCCCAACTCTATGATTTATATCAAAATATAGTTCAAGTCAATATAAGTCATTTGTCCCCTCTGTAATAAAACTACTCAATGAATGTATGAACTGTACATGTAGTCCCACCACTACCTATTTATGTATCTATTTATTTAGATAAACAACATAATGTTGTTGTGATTTTATGTGACACTTACGTTTTGCTTGTGTGTTTTGTATTTCTATGGGAGAAGCCAAAGACAAATTTCCACAGCAGTGGACAATAATCTCCAAATCGAACTCAATCTAACTGGCAATCTGACTTTTCCAACTGCAAGCTGTCTGACTTAAACTTTTCTTCAAGAAGCCATGCCAGGAGAGTGAGTCAGTAAAGTGCAGAATTCCGTCCAAGATATTCTTATTGAAACAGATGAATCTTGTGCTTATGAACCCACTGTTATTTGTGCCTGATCACCGAAATTAGACAGTTGGACTCCTTTTTGTCGACATCCAGAATATCCTACAATATTCTGAGCAAAGCTATATCCAAGGTGAGCCGAGTTCCCATTTTGACTAACTTGTATCTCAAGAAGACAAACTGCAAGATGCTACTTTGGCAGAGGTAGCAGCCTAACCAACGCAAGCTGCTAGGCAATGCCAGGCAAAACTTTCTCTCTCTTCTCTGTCTGTATCAGGACCCTCCCGGCACAGAGAACCTGATACGTAAACCCAGCTAGCTTTATTTACCAGATCAAAGTTTAAACTCATCAAGGAAGTTTGGCCAACAGATTGTTGAGTATTACTTCATTATTTACACCCTAATTCTCAAGATCTGAACTGATATCCCAAACGCATTTGATGTTTAGTTCACAATAGTAAATGCATATTTACTAGTGACTAAGAATATAAAAGTGATTTAACTATATGAGACTGATAGAACATAGAATGTGACACAATATAGTCAAAGCGGTTTTTAACTTTTAAGTTATTAACTCTGATCTTTGTAATCCCTGAGTGAATGATCAGCATTTGTATTCACAGCAGATCATTTCAGATATATTCTATTACATTGTTGCTGTTTATGTATTGATTATATCAATAAACTACATAATGTATATTTAGAATCCATGCATGAGACTGTAAATTATGATGTTAGCTTGGTTGTTAAAAGTCAAGTACTCTCACAATTTACTTACTAACAATTTCTGATTGTAATTCCTGATATATGATCTGTTACAGCAAATTAAAACCCCCCAGTCTCCTGCAGTACTGTACATGTTTCTCTTACCAATAACTGTGCTTTCTGTGTGAGTGCACTAGTCAAAAAACTGTACTAACCCTTGTTCATATCAATGTCTTCAGAACAAATCTGAATCTGTTTTCTTAAGAAAGTACTTTTTGCCACAGAGTGTAGACAGTTTGACCGTGCCCCAGCATGTGAATGTAATGTAACATATTAA